TAAGGGAGGGACTGTTCCCTGCCACTCATCCTGTTGAATGAATCATCCTGCATATCCAGACTAGTAAGAAAAAGAAGTGAGGCCTCTCTCACCTTACAGCCAGGAGCTGCCTCCCAGAGCCACTGAGTTACCACTTAGTTACCACTGAGCAGCTCTGAGCCAGTAACATGCTATGGGCACATCCTGATGCTGGTGTTTCCCCTTCCAGCTATGAATTGCCTTAGAAGATGCCCATATCCCCACAAGGGATTCAGGATCTCACTGTCACGTTGCTTTTTTGTGCTGAAAATTGTAGTGGCTTCAGCACACAACGTGTATCCCATGGCACCAAGGAGAGGAACAGCAGTTTTGCATTGCTGAGACATTCAGCAGGAGGTAGAGAGTGGGATTTTTCAAAGGAGGGCATAGCACAGCTAGAAATAACTGCCTTTAAAGTGGTGACATTTTTATGCATGGACAAGCTAACTTAGAACAATTTTAGAGGATTTTATAAATCCCGCTGAGCCCAGTGCAACTAGATTCATCATGTGAAGACCTGTTTTACAGGGAGAAAGTCTACAAGCCATAACTGAATACACATTTCTTGCACTCTCACAAAGTTTCCCTAAATAGGTCTTTTCATAACCACAGGTAGCATATGCAAAAAGTATGATGAAACCCAGAAAGTTTGGTTGGTGTTGCATTTCTGTCTTTGAAAGAGAAATGCAGGCTGCTTTTAAGGAACAATATTAATTTTTAAAAGCTGCCATATTCTCTTACATGCCATTTCTGCATTCATGGGTGTGTCTTAGTATCAGCAATTAATTTTTGCAAAGCAACAGGCCCCTTTTTTTGTCTTTCCACTCACTGAAATGGAGCTGCCAGGAGCTTTTGGATTAAGCTTTATCAGGCTTTCAGTTAGGAAAGCCTTGTGGAGGTTACGTAGCCAAATACAACATACAAATCAAATTATGGGAGAGATGAATGCAGAGTTGTTAAATTAATTTTGTTTGTTCCAGCCCACTGGAATGTTTTTAACATGGAGAAAATCATTCTCTGCTGTATGGCTGGCCTGCCCAGTGCTTATGACTGTGTCAGCATGCTGCATTCGTCTGCCAGTGGTAAACAGGTTTTGTCCAGGCTTGAGTGAGCCCTGGAAGATGAGGCTGGCCAAGATGCTGGATTCCCCCTGCCTTCCCCAGTGGCAGATCTGCAGAGAGAAGCCTGGGTGAAACTGCTGGGCAGCCCCACACATGGCCAGCAGCTGGGAGAGCCTCTGAGGCTGCCTGAGCTGGGTCAGAGTGGATCCTCCAGATGCACCTGTGCAATGATCCTGCTTCTTCAGGACTTTTCCAGAAGGCAGGAGCTGCCTTGTTTGCCAGATTCTCCCAGTTCAGGTCATCCCTGACAGGAAGGTGAGGGTGTTTTTTCTCTCCAAGAGGTCCAGGGCATGCCTGTGCCTGCAGTGGGGCATGACCATGGTACTGCCAAGGCTCTTGCTCATTTGGTGCCTCTGAGATGTGGCCTGGTTGCCCCAGCTGGGAGTTTCTGTCTCCACAACTCTTGGCATGGGGCTGCTAGCCCAGGACACAGTGGCTTTGGTGTCCTGCCAGACCTATGCAGGTATCTGCTCAGGACTGCACACACCACAGAAAGGCATCCTGAAAGCCCCCCCAATATTTTAATATCCCTCAGGACCTGAATTTTAAACAGAGCATTCGTAATATTTTTTTTCTAAAATTAGCTGAGATGCTATTTCAGTGTGAAATAATGCTGGTTGTTGGTTTTGGGTTTGTTTGTTGGTTTCTTTTTTTCTTTTCCTCTAGAAATCATGAATTCACAAGCTTTTTTTTTTTTT